CACGCGTGCCGTCCTGTGTTTGTTTTCCCCTCAGATCCTGCACCCGTGACTACATGCAACAGGCCTGTGGCGATGCCTTGGGCCGAGGAGGTGACATGGCAAAGGATTCAGCGCCACGCCCCCATTGCTGCCCTGTTACGGGGTTGCTGCCACTACCTCCCCTGGTCCCAGAAGGATTCTAGCATGACAGGAGAAACTGCATGTTGTGGGGTTCCTCGCGTTAGAGGAGGCTGTGGTGGACAGAAAAGAGGTGTCGTCTCCGATGGTCCTGTTTAACCGGGCCTCGCGAGTGAACCAGATTTGAAAAGGTCTGTCCTGCAGAGCACACAGGCGCAAACAGAGACCGCGGGAGTGGCGGGCCCGCTGTGCTGGCCCCGTCATAAAGTAATACAAACAGTCCACAGGCGGCGAACACCTGCCTAGGAAATAGTTGCACACGTCCATGATTCATGGCCCAGCCCTCTGCATCTCGACTCAGGAAATCCGCAGAGCTGTCCAGTCCTTTCATGGCAGGTATGGAAAGATACAAATCACCTCCTTCTTCCGGTCACAGTCGTCCTGCCTGGGCCCACAGATCTTCCTCATCCTGCCGTTAGAGACTGTCTGTCTGTCTGCCTACTCCCCACCGCACCATGCACACATCTCTCTACTGCTGCACCTGTGTTTCCCTAAAGTCTTTCCTCCATCCTCTCTTTACATCACCTCCGCCCCAAGAAGGACTCTGACCATGGTGCAGGGCTGCTGGATGACTCTTAAGGATGAAAGCCAAGCATTCTGATACTAAATTCACCACAGTAGAGGGCTGGTATTGTATCTCTTAAGTGCTAACCTCAAGAGAAGATTGCGGGGGGAAGGATATATTCCCTATTTTCTACTGTTTCATAGTTAGACTGTTTTTTTTATCCTTGCTCAGATCTTACTTTCCTGATACTTTTATTTTTAAAAGCTATATGGTCATAGAATTGATTTAAACTCTTGATCATTTTTTCACTACAAATGTACAAAACTTAGTTATTTTGTGGGTTAAAATAAGTGCCATGGGCCAGCCTGAGCATGTGACTACCATTCATACAGTAATTATTCATTTTACCTTCCAAATACAGTAACTGTATTTACAGTTTACGACCCATTTATCCATTGTAAAAAGCCATATTGATTCACATGTCCTATTGAAAACACGTAGATTGTCTAGTGTCTCAACAGGAAGATGTGCTTCTTGCTTCTGGACTGCAGGGGAACCATGTCCCATATTAGAGTGCCTAAGGAGTTAATCCGGCATTCCACAACCCCACCTAATAAGCAGACACAGCTAGGCTACGGAAGCAAATATGTGTGCGCTGTATGATACCCAGACACAGTGAACATTGTCATGTTTTATATACTGTGTATAGTAAGTACGCCCGCTTACTGCACATACTGCCTAAGACGCTTGCTTCGGCAGCACGTGTACCATATTGCTTAAGGTACACAGTAAACTGCACTTTTCACACTTAAATATATGACACTTTGCATACCACAGTGAATTTTTGACAAATAAAGCTAATGCCTATTACATCGATGTAAACATTTCTTCTGCCATAATACTTATTGTTTAAAGTAACACAATTATGGGTTAGGAACCCTAACCTGAACCTCAGTTGTTCTTGAAAAGTGATAATATGTCCTCTCAGTAAAGTAGGAGAGCTCCTACTCACAACTACAGGGAGCGATAATTTATATAATAAGAGCAGTTGTTTTCCTGTGATCTTGGGCAGAGGGTTTAATTAGCTCAACTGAATGTGCACAGTTTGCTTCCAGTCCTGGCAGGATCGTGTTTCATGATTCAGGATGTGCCTAGGAGGCTGCAGTGGTTGTGCTCTTCCAGACTGCAGGAGGCCAGGCGTGGTGGGTACAGTGGGGCTGTCTTCCCTTTAACGAGCCCAGCTCTGCACTTTACTTTTTGGGATATAGACCTGGAGCCACACATGACAAAGCGTGTGCGCGTGCACACACACACCCCTGCTTTCTCTCCTGGGCAGGGCTGGAGGGCTGAGTTCCTCTCTGAGCAGCCCCCACCGTTATTTTCTCCCACTGGCAATGAACCTGTTTATAGGAGCGTGGCCGCCTCGCTCCCTGTCGTTGTGAGTAGGAGCTCTCCTACCTTACTGAGAGGACATATTATCACTTTTCAAGAACAACTGAGGTTCAAGTTAGGGTTCCTAACCCATAATTGTGCTACTTTAAACAATAAGTATTATGGCAGAAGAAATGTTTACATCGATGTAATAGGCATTAGCTTTGTCAAATCATTTGGTTTTAAAGTGGCTATAGAATTTGCAGTTTTGTGTAAAATATAAAGCATTCATCAATGTGAAATAGTTATCTCCTTTCCATATTTCCTCTTATCAAACGAAAAATACATTTTGGTCTCTTACCAAAATACAGACCGCTTCGGTAAGTTTTTTGCAGGTTGTATCATGTGAGTAGTGTCACAGGATGTGCTGACCCTCGTGAGTCCCGTCCTTGTTTAACACTGCCCTGAAAGTAAGCCTCCCTGCGCTGCTCATTCATGCGCTCCAGCTCATTCACAAGTCTGACACTTCCTTTGCCTGGCAGATGAAAGGGGCAGTGTGAGACCGCTCCGTGATGGACACATGGCTCCTTCCACCGTGCTCACTACGCAGAAGTCAAAGTACTGAACGTCTGCTGTAAGACTAACCAGAAACGCACTCTTTTTTCTGTCCTGACAAGTTTCTAAATTTACAAAGCTCAAAGGCTGGGGTAGCTTTTTTTGTCTTTATCTTTTATTTTTGGTGTTGATCAGGGAGAGAAAGGAAATACAGAAACATTTTTTGAAAGCCCAAAAGAAAATATGTAAAACAATGAAGCACACAGAATGGTGCTTTTTCTTTCTGATAATCTGTAAATAGGTGTTGGATTATGGTGTTGGCCTTCAATTACAGGGCTTATCTCTAATTGCATTAGACACTATTTTGTTCCTTAGGAGAAAAGCAGTGTTTATTATTACAGGTGGCAGAACACAGGAGAAAAACAAGTAGCGAGGCCACATTTACTCACTTCAAGTGGATTTTGTATTTGTTTTTTGCTTTTGTTCCCCAGCCAGGAGGCTGTAAACCGAGCAAGTGAGCAGACAAATTGTTGTTCTCAGGTGCGCATCCCCAGACAGCTGCAAGCGGCAGGTGCCGTGCCGATGCAGAGATAAATTCATTGCTGGTGGTGCTTGGCTGGTAGCCAGAGAGGACTTTTGGAGCACTGCTCTGCTACTGTTCATGTATTTACACGTCCACCTTGGGAGAGAAGAGGTTTTGGTCGCCCAATGTAGCTTCCTTGTCCTGTTCTGTCTTTACAGTGTCTAAAGATCCGGGAGAAGGGGCATTTTGCCCAGGGAAAAGCAGGAGCTGCGCTCTTGGAGTCGCAGGTACCCCGGTTGGGCTCAGCCAAGCCAGCAGCACAGCAGTCCTGCATTTGGCAAAACATTCTCAGGTTTCGCGGCTGTTTACTTTAGCGGAGGACTCGCTAGCGGCAGATTAGAGTGTTTACTAGATGGATGCACCCGCCCCCGCACCCCCTTGCTGGGTAGACGTGGGAGGTCGCTGAACGAACAAGAGCGTGACACTTCTCCAAGAAGGAAGCAGGCGCTGGCGGTGTAGCTTGCCTCTCCAGCTATCAGGACCTTGTTAGTTACACATCTATGGACTTAAGCAGATTTAAAGCAGTCTGCCAGAGCGACACTAAGAAAGGAGAGAAACTAGAGGATTCGAGAAGGAGCTGCTAAAGGCTGCTGGGAACTTCCCTGTTGCATTGTCTATGTTTGAGGGGTCTTTGGCTAAGTTCTCTTGTTTTCTGTTCTGTGGGTTGAATGACCCCTGTTGTCACAATAGCTGTGACAGTGCTGGAAACAGTCATTCCTTTAGACTCAGGGCTCAGTCGCTTCCTCCCTGAAGGTAGGGAGTTTATGAGAAGCACAGATTAGGGTCCCAGACCTACTCTGAGATTAAGGAAAGTGCTCTAACAAAAACCTTATGGTGGCACGAACAACTGAGAAAATAGACTTCTCTGGGAAAAAGTGCTGAGTGAGGTCCACTAACCTTTAAAAGATTTTATATGGCTTTAAATAATTACTCTACTTTGTAAGCATTGTGATGCATTGCTATATTTAACAATTAATCCAGTATTTGTATGTCTTATTTAAACTTCCTTTAGAGTACATATGGTTCGTATAAAGAAAATGCCAGGGTCATTTGGGGTTTGTATGAAAATGATAATTTGTGAAGGAAAAACAGAGCTTTCTATATCTTATTTTGGTCACATTCTCTATAAAAAGTCTATGGGATCATGGTAGCCTGAGAACTGACTGTTGGGTCCTCTCAGCGTGGCGGAGTCGAGCTGGACTGCCCCGTGTGGGGACGGTTCCAGCGCCAGCTGCTGGAGCTGAGTGGGGGCTGCCCTGCCTTGGGGACACTTTTGAAACACTCCCCCGTTTCCAGATGACAAGCCCTTTGCTGCTGAGCCCTGAGATTCTGAGAAACATAGGTCTGCTGTATTTAATTTCCTCTCATTTACCAGGAGGCACAGTCTATTTTCGTAAAGAAATTCAGGAAATTAGTAAAGCACTCGACGGCATCCGTCATGTATCAGTCATTAACGTGATTGTCACGTTTTCCTGGCTCCGAGGGGCCGTGGCTCGCAGCCTCCCTGAGACCCCAGGACCCGAGGGGAAGGTCCTGGCAGCCGCCTCTCTGAGCTCTGGCTCCTCACACAAAACAGCCTGTGAGTTCTACAGAGCGGCGCACTCCCTCTGCTCGCGAGCAGAGCCCTAGCTTCAGAGAGCTCCGCAGGACTGGGAAGCGGTGAGCTCTTTTCATTTTTACCCCAGGAGAGAACCAAAGCAGCAGCCGTCCGTTCACGGTGCCCGTGAGCATCCCGCCGCCCGCTCGGCGCTGGTCAGGGCGGAGCTGATCGCGGGGTTCCCGCCACCCCCGAGAAGCCCAGGCTCCTACCTTCAGCAGCCACTGCGTGTTGTTCTCCAGCATGCTCTCCAGCACCTGCAGCCTCTGCGTGGAGTCGTCGTAGTCAAGGGGCGCGTCCCTCTGCACGGCATTGGACACGTAGGGGCTGGACGCAGAGCGGCAGCTGTCCATCTCAGGCAGCAGGAACGTGTAGCTGCAGGGCCCGTGCTGCACCTGGTACTGCTTTCTCCCTGTGCTGTCCACGCTTTTTCTAAAGTTGTTGTAGGCTGCGGCCAAGACAAGATCACAGCCCAAAGTAAAGAAAACAATCTGCCACATTCTCTCTTCGGGTTGTAAACCACCAGCTCAGCAGACTTCCAGGCACATGTGAGTCCAGAGTCCCGCGCTGCCGCCTAGCACGCCGGACCGTGCTGCATGGCCGAGCCCATCAGCCAGAGCCTTCTTTCTCCCCCTTTCCCGGAGGCAGCCTCGCTCTCCGGTGCTGTCTTCTCTCTGGGCATGCAGTAACTGTCAGATCGCGGCGGGAAGCACAGCCCGGCTCACTTGGGAGGGCTGCACGGGCTTCACAGAGCAGCTTTCATGTTCTTTGTTTCTCTTTCCCCAGATTCTACCGTGTCAGTATCCGAATCAATCACTTTCCTTCCCTTATATGATAAGTTGATAAGCGCAGCCAGACATGTGTAGCTGCTGCTCCGCCCTCCTGGCTTATCCCTTATCTTCCTGTAGGGGGTCACTAGCCAGGCAACAGGAAAAATCCGAGCATAATGCTCGCCGTGCAGCCAGGACCGTGGGCTGCAGAAGCCCTCTGGGAACGCCGGTCTGTTGCAGGACCCTGGCATGTCCGAGCACCACCCTAATTGAGCGTTTCCTCGAGAGAGCTCCGGGCTCGCTCCATCGTGCTAAGCTGGCAGAGAATCTGAGGTAGTAACTTCAGTCTTCAAGTACAATGAGAGTTCCTGTTTTTTCCTTTAGGAATAAAAATACTACAAATATGTGAGGATCTCAGTTTATTTTTGTTCTTACAAATAAAGAGGAAGGCATTTGGCTCTTGTAAACTGTGCCTTTTCAGAGGGAAATGGTTTCATTGACATTGCTTGATTGTTGAACTATTAGCTAAGTCATACCAAATTTTCATTTTAAGCCAGTTTGCTTTTATTAAATAGAGTTAGAAGGATCGGTTGCTGAGCTGACAGCTGTTCTTTTTGTAAGAAAAACCCACGGAAGTATTTAGAGTACACAGAGTGTACTTGCCTGGCTAGTGATGTGTGAGTTACAGTAGAGAAGTCAGAATTTAAATAAAGTGCATTGGGGGGGAACGTACGCCTCCTTCCCTGTACAGGATTCGGTCAGGTCTCATCTTCGTGTAGCACGTTATCAATTGCAGGAGCCCAACCTCAGGCAAACCGCTTGCCCTTTTAATTAACCTGTAACATCCTTATCTGTAAACGTCAGGAGCTGCACTAACTTCCAAGACTTTTCCATTTAGTGCTACGCTCTGCCAGACCGGTAAATTATTCCTTCAGTCACTAGAACTTCATACTCCAGAGGCTGCTCACGTGCGGCCTCGCCTGCCCAGCCTCCCCAGGCCCGTCGGAGCCTCGCTGCATCGCCCAGTGAGAAGATGCACGCCGACTGCCTGTGCAGGACCAGCTTGCAGAGGGCCGAGGAATTAGGATTTTAATTCCTAAGTGCATCTGGAATTTGTGCAGTGAGGTTTGCTTTCCTAGAATCTGTTTTCAGGAGACCTAATTAGCTAGACTTTTAAAAAATGCATCCTATAAATGGACTGTCTCCCGGGCTACCTCTAGAACAGGGATTCTTCCACTGAGTGAGGTTTGTGGGCAGAACTCCCTGGGGCTCGTGGCTGTGCTCCGACTGACATGCAGCCTGCTTCCTCGGCGAGGCTGGCACTCTCTGTGGCCCTCTCGGCAGCGTAGATTGAGGTTCTGCCGCCGTCCTGTCGGCCACCCCTGTTCAACAACGTGCCCTTCACCGTGGCAAGCCTAGCCAGCAGTTGGCAGGCTGGCGGTGGCCGGGCAGCTTCGTTCATGGGCACTGACCCTGGAGTTTCTTGTCCTCTCGCACTCAGGGGTCTGCGGCTACTCCAGGGTTCCCCCGTGAGAATGTACAGATCATTGTTCCCTCGTTGACTGCAACAGGTTATGGGCTATAGTCTGCTGACCTCTGAGTCAGCCCAGGGGAGTCTGCAGGGGTCGGGACGTGGCCCATGAGGCTGCCATGCTGTGCACAGCTAGGGGACACAACGACCTCTCTCCCCTCATAGGGCGGCTCCTAATGTGACCGAGAAGTGTGACACATGCGGGGAGGGGCTCATGAAAGGCCCAGAGAAAAGGCCCTGCTTTGAAGCTGAGTGTCGAGTGCAGTATGGGGACAAGGTTGTCAGGAGATGGCGCTGGCACAGAGCAGGACGTGGCCTGTGGCAGGCTATCAGAGCCGCAGGGAGGCCATGAGGACACTTGTTCAGACACGGCTGCCACCCACTGCGGCAAGTGGCTACTGTGGGAAGGCAGAGGACCTGCAGGAGTCCCTCACAAGACGCTGATGGGGGCGAGGCGAGCAGGGACTGATGGAGGCGAGGCGACCCCACCAGGCTGCAGGTGCACCTACTGCGGTTGCCTAGGCAATGCCAGCGCAGCTTAGATCCCTCTACCCTGAAAGGAGGCTTCGTGGTCACCCCCGGGCTGTTCATTTTTCCAGTCTTGGGCTTTTCTCAGTGGCTTGCTGACAGGACAGCTAAAGGCAGCTGAAGATATAAAGTGAGAAGTATTCTTACAGATGTCCCCAGAACCGCTACCTGCTGTCCAACTGATTTTTATTTTCCTAGCAATTTTGTCGAATAGCAGTGCCCGGTGCCATCTGCTTTCCTAATAACGCCTGTTTTCTCCCCGTGCTGTGTGGCACTGGCTGAAAGGGCAGAGGCGCCGCCTGCTCTGCAGAACTGACTCAAGCCCCAAGGTCTATCCTGGTGCCAGAAATACCCTGCCGCTCTCCCCGGAAGGAGGTTGGCCAGCCACGCCTGGACGTCTGGCTCCTTTGCTTGGTTCGCCCCGTCTGGCTGTGGCCCCCTGCCCCGGAAGTGTGGGCTGACGGTGTAGACCAGCTGGCACCGGTCATGGAGTCCAAGCAGTCACAGTGCCCACGGCCCCAGTCACCCGGAGCAACCTGCGGAATTCTCTCAGACGTTTTGTTCACTCGATGGTGTCATAGGAAGCCAGAAACCAACAAAGGATGTGCCCTGGAACTCAGCACCAAGCAGGCAGCCCTGAGTCATGGTCCTGCAGTGGGTGAGCACGAGGCCTCCGCCGTCACCCATGTGCCGGGTCCCAGCGGCCGTTCTGCGCTTGGCCAGTCAGAGGCAGCCGTGGGACCTGCGGCTGATCTGGGAGGAGGTGGCTGCTCGCCCAGCTGCACCGCTCCAGAGCCGGCACCCAGGGTGCGCTTGTGGAAGGGCAGAGTGAAGTGCCCGCCGTCCCCAGCCCTGGTTGCCATGGGGCCAGCAGCTCCCAAGCCAGCGTGCTGTCCACGCCCTCGCTCCGCACAGCCCAGGCTGCCCTGCTGTCCTCCTCCTGGCTGCCGCCGCCGCCTCAGGACTCCGGGGGTGGTGACTGGCGCAGGCTTTCTTGGCCCGGCACAGCCTTGACTTTCGGAAAGTGCCGTGTTGGTATGATGGAAACTCCCAGGGCTGAATCACCCTAAAAACGAAGCTGGGACACTGTTCTGCAGACAGATGGGCACACTCGGGACTCTCGGGCGCCTGGCACGCTGGAGCTGGAAGGAAAGTGAGAGGCATCTTGGCCATCTCTCCTCCCCACCCTGGCGTCTTGAAGATTGGTGAAATAAAGTCAGCCGACACGTTTCTGTGTACGGCTTCGGGCCCAGGCTGCAGGGGAAGCCATTGGAAAGCTCACACCACGTGAAGCCGTTGTCAGAGGAGTTACTTTTACTGCCGCCTCCCTTCACACTGTAGGCAGTAATCAGTGAGGACTAAAGAAGCAACCACAGAAAAAGAGTGTTTCAGCCTTCCAAAATCAGGCCCCCGGGAGCGATTCTTGGTACACCTCCAGCTCCGCCCTGTTTTGAGAGGTGCGGCTGGATTTGAAGGATACAGACCCTCTGCAGCCACCCGCAGGCGCAGGTGTATCAACCGCCACACACTCAGCACTGCTTGCAGTGGTGAACTTGGGTGAACTTGGAATCTGGGATGTGGTGAAAAATAATCCCCCCGTGGGATCTGAGAAAAGTACCCAAGGAAAGCCCCTTGAAGTTGCTGTAGCAGAAGAGAATGTGAACGGGCACACCTGTCTGTAGGCTCAGTAGCCAGCTCGGTGGGGTGAGGAGGCAAGAGTCCCACCAGCACCCAGGAACCCTTCTGTACCCCAGCAGTGACGACCCTTAGGAAAACTCAAAGCAGCAGCGTTTACTGTGACTTTAATGTGGCCGTGCGAAGCCCCTGTGAGGGCGGGTGGAGACTCACCCTCTAGTCCTGGCTGCCACCTCTGTGCAGCACAAACACACACCTCAAGTGACAGACGCAGCGGCTGCCACAGCCCGCCTGGCCTCTGGTCTCCAAGCAGCTCGCCGTGCACATGTCACTGTCACAGCCCTGTGCCGTCTGCGTGCAGCGTCGGTCCTCGAGGTGGGCACACATCAGTGCGTCGGCACAGACGGAGGCCAACGGTCCTGACCCTCAGGCTCCCGCGAGCCCTGTGAGGACGCCACATGCACTGCTTAAGCTTTCTGTCCCGCTTTAGCGGTCCCGCCTGCTTCGCCTGTCCCTTCAGCTTCACCGTTGGGGGGAGGGGGTGAAACACCTGGAATAGAAGCCGCCTCTGAAATGAAGTGTGATGCCCACTTTAGTGCAGTTCCTGTTCTTACTGGAAATATATAGCGTCTGGCGTAAAATAGCTGGCCTAGATATTTAGGGTACAGTTAAGGGTTGTCTGCTTGGGATCGGGCACTGGCTCCCTGTGATTCACCTTGGTGAGCCGTGAGGAAATGCACATCTTGTTAACATCAGCTCTGGCTGCCAGGGGAGGAGAAAGCCTCCGCCAGCTGTGTTTTCAGGCCGTTTCCTTTCCTGGGAAACAGCCGCTTCCCCCGCCTCCCCGGTGTTTTCCTCCACTATAGATGGAGAAGACCTCCAGACCCAGACCCAGGACCCGAGAGTGGCACCTATCCCGAGGCTGGGCTGTCTCCCTTGTTGTAGCTGGGTGACTTCTGTTTGCCACAGAAGTGCAGAAGCTATCAGTGCGTGCACGCGGAGGGAAGGGTCGGGTTAGTAGTGTGAGGAAGTCCGAGTCGCCAGGACTGCCAGTGCTGGGCATGCTCGCTCGTGGTGGTTAAGTTGAAAAGGTACCAGGGCCTCCCTGTAACTTATCCGAGTGTTTACTGTGAAGTCATGTCTGCACAGGGCACATTTATGTGAAATAGGACATATTTAGATAGAACACAATTTTCTTAAAGAAACTTAAGAGATTCTCAAATCTTTCACATTCTGCCCTGCCACAAACCAGCATAATATCTGCTTTTCTGTCTCACTTTTATATCATAAAGCCATGCTGCGTATGCTGGCTGACCTTACAGGCTCGGGAAGGAAGCACTTTTTATTTACTGGTTATCTGAGAAACAGCCAAGTAACATTTTTTAAGATTGTCCCACAAATTCCTTGAATTTTTAGGTATACTTTAGTTTGTATAACTACCCTGCTGTAAAAAGTTATCCCAAATGTTGTTTGATTTTTAAATATTTTCACTCTAATATTTTTATGGAATATTTTATCTTCCCATCAAAAAAAACAAATGCCAAAAAGGTCAAGATACAAACACAGCTTTTAAAGGCAGTGGGTAACATTTTCAAACAATGGGTGAGTGCATTAGCCTGTCAATATTTTTGCCAGTAATTCTGTGTCCTGTTTTCTCCCAGTAGAAAGAAATGTTAAACATTCCTTTCAGTGGATTGAGGTCAGTGGTGACTGTTTTACCCATGACCCAAGTTAGGTCAGATAGAGACTTTTCTCTGACCAGCACAGTATTTCACTTGAGATTTTGAGGAAGCCTTATTAGCTATCGTTTTATGATCAAATGTTCCTGAATTCACTTCAACAAAATTGCAGGTTCTTTTGCTTCTGAACAATATGCCCAGATTCTTTATCATAACCATCAATAAAGAACTGTCTCAATATTTCACATAGTGAATTTCCATTTGAAAGTGGCTTAATGCCACCTAAATTAATCTTCATTTAATCTAAATTTGTAATATTTTATCTTAA